CAGTGTCAACATTTACTGAATGCATTTTGAGCAACTCTTAATTCAGTGTTTTTTCTGTAGATGTTGTTTTGACAATACCACAAGAAGTAACAATTAATGGAGCACAAGACGATGCAGGTCAAATAGTGATGACTATCCATTATTTTTTCATAGATAGAGTCATAAATCTGTCCATTTATCCCAAATTTCCCATCCTCAGTTAACATACTGAAGAGGAAGCTGCTGTTCATCCATGAAGCCAAGGAGCTGCCCTTCCCTCATTACCAAATGAATAGATATATCCTGCTTTTTCCATCCATAGCTCATTTGTGTGACTACAGCCTTTAAACAAGAGCTTCACCCCAAAATCACTCTGAGAGAGACACATTAATACAACAGACTTAATTAGCAACATATTCAGCTGCCTTCAGTCAAAAATCCAACTGCTTCGTTTGTACTTTTAGCCATAGCCAAAAGTGACAGTTTGAAGCATTGCAGTAAACGTGTGAATGCTCTTCGTTAATGAAGTAATAGGTTTTTGAGTTCCTATACAGGTATATTATGCTAATGTCAGACAGAAGTACATCATTATGAATGCTATTAAGCTCTATTCACTTGATACTTTCTCAAACAGGATATAATAATCTCTCAAGCTTCCCCTAATCTATATATCCTCTTAAGAAGGAGATTAATTTCCATGCTCATTCATAAGCAAGTCACAGAGTCTATATAACGAACATTATCCAAATACATCCAAAGCGTGTCTCTGTTTTAACCCAGGAAACATCCTCTCCAGAGGCCAGAGAGTCCCTTGTGGACAAGAAAAAAATGTTTAACTTCCTCAGCTATGCTTCCTAAAATATTTCTCCATACAGGCTCAACAATATCAATATGATGCATTATAATAAGTTATTACCCACTCTCTGGATACAGGTCATTGAAGTTTCTTCCTGGGGATTGAAGAGAAAGCCAAAATAATAAAAGCACTATGAACTTCTTACCTATCAGTAGCACACAAACTGCAGTAAATTGGTTCTGCAGCATCTCCGTGTATTACTGACTTACCTCAGCAGATTGCTGAGGACATTAGGGGGTTATTACACTTCCTTTATCCCTGAAGTTATAAGGAAACAACTACTGGTAACAGCACGTTTTCCTTCACCTTTTCAAAGCTCTCCCCTCTTACAGGCTAATATGATTGTGGACATCTCGTTACAGAATATGATGCTTTTTAGCATACATTTGTCTCTTCTACTTAACCTGTGGGGCTCTATGTTTATGAGAAGCATTAACACAAAGCATGTGGGAGCCCTCTTACATTGCTCAGAGGTTGGTTTTGGGAGGTGCTACTCAGGTTCGAGTCAGATGCTGGTGCAGGCACTTACATGCAGCAGCCTCCCAGTCCTACCTGCTTTCTGCACTCCACATGTTTGCTCCACCTCCTCACACAGGGCTGTGAACAACTGTATCAAAAGCAAACAGGCAGAGAAAGGCCATTTGGAAGAGATGACCGTACTGTGACACGCAACCACCTTGAGTGTAGCCCTAAGAAGAGAGCCACTTGTGCAAGAGAGGTGAGTTCTCTGCTGTCTGAAAGCAGAGAAGAGAATACAGATGTTAACCCCATTATTTAATTTACTACTGGGAAGTGTTCAAATGTTACTGTAGTGACTGTGGTACAGAAAAACCTATTCAGAATGAAAGAATACTCTCTTCCTCATATTGTTCACAGCCATTATGTTTTCTTTGTTCTGTTCAGTCTTGAACAGATGTTAGAGCTGAAGGCTTGCAGCCAGTTTCTCAGTTTTAACCAATACATTTGATATGCTTCAGCATGGACTTTCAAAACAGAAGCCTCTCTAATCCAGTGTTGAAAACCCTCTGATTTTTAATAGAAAAATGAATACTTAGTCTTCCAACTAACAAGACTTCTTATTTAAAAAGGAAAGTGGAGCTGCCAATATGCTCTCTAGCATTTTTCCAATATTCTTTTATGAATATTTAAATAACAGTTTTAGGCTTAAAGATATTTTCTGGTTTCCCACACTTAAAGTTTTTGGCAGGAAATAATTTCATCATCTAGTATTAAAACATAGTATCAGGCAGTATATGCATACCAATTGTTCATTAAAGACCCTGTCTAAAGACTGAAACAACTTAATTGCCCAGTAACTCTTCTCTTTTACTATCTTGATAGATTCAGTTTGTCAGGAGATATTAAACTCATTAATCCTATTAAACGTATCACAGACTTGTTTTAATTTCAGAGAACACCTTCTTGCTGGAACACAGACTGCACCAGGGCTGAGGCTAAAGAAAATGGTGTTGCCCTGTAAGCCCTCACTAGTCCTCTGAGTACCAAAGGGGGTTCAGGGTTTGGGTATTCAAAGCCTAAGGAAAAGAAGAGCCACAGAGCCCTTTGGGGCAGCCCTGTGTGTTCTGAGCTAGCAAAGCTACCTGAAACACAGCAATAACTCTGTGAGTTGCTTTACATAGGTCTGCTCCAGCACGACTTACTCAGTAGGAGGATCTTACCTTGCTGGGGAGAGCACCACGGTGGAAACCAGCGCAGACATACAAAGTATGGAAGCATGGCAAGGCAGGCGAAAGGGCTGAATTCAGCTGCAGTGCTGGAGAGCTGGTATGGCAACAGGGCTGGGAGTGAACCTCAAAGTGGTGAAGAACTGAACATAGGGTAAAGCTCAACGGTGTCACCTATTTGCAACCTCTCACTTTGCCGTTCCTTCAAATGCAGCCTCAGAAGGTGAGGACTAAAGGTATCAGCACAACTTGCACATCATCCCTCCCCACACAGCTGCCTCTAGGCCAAAGTGCTCTCTATAAAGCAGTGGAAGTCAGATGTGGGCCCCTGTGGTTTTCTCCATGCCACCTGTCCCACAGATTCAGGTGATCCAGGTTATTTCTGGGTCACTTAAGGAATCACAAGGTCAGGATTCTTCAGTTAGTTGGACTGAAAACAACCTGCTGTTGTTGTAGGTGCCACTGATCAGGAATAATGAAGTTGCAAAAAGTGTCATTTACTTCCTTTCTGTGGAACAATTTTGAAAGGGAGAAATTGATGAAGATACGAGCTTTTGAAGTTTTCCCACTAGAAAATGCCAGGTTTCCTTTGGTGGTGTTCACTAACAAAACTTGAGGTTTAAACTACTTATCTCCAAACAAACCTGGAAAATGTAAGAATTTTGCAAAGAGTGAAATAGAAGAAATCCAGAAAGCCAGGATTTCTGCAGGATCTGACATCCCTGACAAAAAAGGGCTTGATAAACCTCTACTTTCAGAATAATCCTCTTTTTGCAGTATCACTCACCAGAATCAGGACTCCTTTCCTGCTGAACAGGTACAACCTGAGGCTATTTGTACCCAGACATGAACATGCCTCTCCAGCTTCAACTCCCTTAGATCTGCCTTTATATTACACAGCATTATTACCACTCTAATCACTTGAGGAGATAAGGAAAGTGAAGTACTGCCCTAAAGCTTTGTCCAACAGCATTTTCATTTGCCAGTTAGGTTGCCTGCTTACAACCCTGCAAGAACATAGTTGGAGCTAGCATCTGCATTACTGCCCTCTACAAACTGCACTAGTTAACTGACAAAGACCAGCTCTTGGTATTATTCTAGCCCAAGACTTCCATTTGCTAGAAGCTTCCTTTAAGTAGAGTTAGGAGAAGAGTAAGCCCAAGTTTTACACTGATAATAGTAATCATAATGAAGAGTCAGTGCTTTGACATTATGGCAAAGAACCTGGAGCTTAGAACACCACAAAAGTCAACCTCAAGGCTGGCAGTGCTCACTCTGGCAAACCAAAACTGAATCATTCCATACAACTACTATTATCTATTAGCACTGGTACATATCCCACTGAGCTTCACAGCACAGCCATTTATTTCCCCAAATGCATCTATTTTGCAGAAGAGACATGAGTATTTGTGTGCAATTGTGGCTAGGAAAACATCAAAAGCTGTATTAAGCTCCTACACAGGGATACAAATACAGCCTGCTGGGTTTTGGAAGTCTCTTGCAATGAATTTCCTTAAGGTCCTTAATCTGAACAGACAAGTGAGGTCAGTCCCTTTTACAGAGAGGGAAACTGAAGGCCCAGGGAAGTGAAATTGTGTGCTCAGGAGCAACAGCACATCCCTTTGTTTTGGTGATCAGCAAGAGCTGGTGAAGGGCTTGGAGCACAAGTGGGATGAGGAACAGCTGAGGCACCTGGGGGGGTGTTTAGTCTGTAGAAGAGAAGGCTCAGGAGGGATCTTATCACTCTCTACAGCTACCCGAAAGGAGGATGGAGCAAGGAGGTGGCTGGTCTCTGCTCCCAGGGAACAAGTGACAGAACGAGAGGAAACAGCCCCAAGCTTCACCACGGAAGGTTTAGACTAGAGATGAGGAGAAATGTCTTCATGAAAAGGGTTGTCAAATGTTGGAACAGGCTGCCCAGGGCAGTGGTGCAGTCACCATCCCCGGAGGGATTTAACAGATGTGTAGATGAGGCCCTAAGTGACATGGTTTAGTGGCCTTGGCAGTGTAGGGTTAACAGCTGGACTTGATCTTGGGGGTCTTTTTGCAACCTCCATGATTCTATTCCATGATTTTCCCTAAATTCATCGTGACTACACATGTACTGAGAGCAAAATATTTGGAGACTCTAGACTCCCCACAAACAACTTAAACCTTTAGCTTCTGTAAGATGCTGCATGCACCCATACTGCTTTCTCTGAACAAGGAACACTAACAAAGTCCATTTGTACATTCAAATTATTTTTTTGTTGTTGTAATCAGAAGGTTACTAAACCTGATTAGATTTTCAAATCTAGCAATAGAATATCCACACAATACCCTGTCACAGTCCTCTAATACTTCCATTATGGCCCAATTTAAAACAACTGCTGTTCCTAGAGCTAAAAGCAAGGACAAAAACAAATGCTAGTAAGCCATCTCCCACCTCAGCAGCAGTAAAGACCTGGGTTGCTTCACTGAATCTGAATTCTGCTCCCTTACAAAGGCCAATCATAGCACTGACATTTTCCTATGACCACACCGGAGCAGTTGCCTCCTTCAAGTCTGGATTGAAGCTCTCTTATTATTTAAGGGATGGGAAAGAATGAAATTATGTGCTAGTCAATTCTGTGCTGCATTACTGCCTTAGAGTAACACAAAATCCAGTTTCATGCTAATCATTCCCAGTCCTTGCTGTACATAGCAGGAACAGGTCCTACTGTGCCCCAAGTCTCATTCTCACCTCTGTGCTGTGCTCAGACACAGGTACCTACCTACAGCCAGAGGAGAAAGTAAATCCCCACACTATAACAGATGCTTTACAAAGGATGGCTAAATCACCTCAGGAAGAGCCCATCTTTCTTTCATGCACAGTTTGTTGAATGACTGAACTCTGGAAATGCAGAATCCAGGGACACCCTCCTTGGCAACAAGCACAGCAGAGGCAGGCACTGGGAAATCCCTATCAGCTAACTTAAAGCTTGGAACAAACAGGTTATTTCAATTAGAACAGTGGTAGATATCTGGGTTTATTTCAAAACAAGCATTGCCTCAGCTGGGTGTCTGCAACACACTGTGAGAACTCAAGTCTGTTCACTGCACAGAGTGGATATGCGAGAGGGGGGCAATGTTTGGGGAAAGAAGAGCTCTAAAGTTCAGCAGGGCTGAAGCAGAATGTCAAAAACAGCTTTGAAAGCAAGCACAGCATCTTCCAAGCCTGGTTACACAAGAGTCCAGGGACACCTGAGAAGTTACTGAGAAGTTTAGAGATGGGCAGTGAGTATTCTTATTCACAGTCAGGCAAAACCTGCCTCTTCCTCCTCTGCAGCCTGTTCTCCCTCTTCTGAGGTGCTCACAGGTGGTTCACACTTTCCTGTGCCTTTACTTCTCCACTCTCCTGTGAGCTGGCCATGGGAACAGCACCATCCAGCTCCTAGCAACAAAACAACTTGCTCTGCCTCAGTTTTCAGCATCCTCCTCCTCCTTCCCACTGCTTTGTGCTCTAGACAGGCCACACAGCCCATCACTGAGGGATGCAAACCTCTGCCTGTGCACTTCCATGGAGCAGAAGCTGTCCTTCCTCACCAGCTCCCTGATAGGGCTGTAGACAAAACACAGGGCTCCCATACAGCTGCACTGTGCTCTCTCAGCAAGGCTCTGCATTTTGAGGCTTCAGCCTTCAAGCTGAGTTTAAAACTAGACTCTCTCTATAGCTTTCTGCAAGTTGTCTTTAACTACAGGAACTTTTAAATTATGAGCCTTCCAGAGTATTCAAACTGCTCTCCTGGAAAAAACCACAACGTGATAATTCATTTTGGACAAGCAAAAGCATTCCAAAAATTATGAGCATGATTCATTTGAACATGACAATAAACAAAGGGATTTGCTTCAAAGACAGCTGGTAAAAGGAAGACACACCCAAAGGAAACAGCGGCTGCTCTGGGCTGTGCCACCAGGCTTCTTATGAGAAGGCCTGATCAACATGAGCCCTTTAAAATCCTGTTTGTCATACTGCATCAACAGTCCTTTCCTGCTCTCCTTCTGCCCTGCCTGCCCCTTGGTAGCTGTATGAACAGTGAAGAATGTTTCTTCAATGATTCATTGAATAAAGATCACAAAATTCATCAGCTACATCATTCAAGCCATTATTTGTCAACTTTTGCTGCTCACATTGCAAGAGAGAAATTGAGCTCCTAAGAACACACAAAAAGGTTGTGCCTACAAAACAGCTTTGCCAAATCTTAAGGAGACTATTATTTAGCACTGTCCATGCCCAAACAGCTCCTAGTGCTCAGAGAAAGGCCGGCACAAAAGACAAAATAGAGGTTTGCTCTCCAGCATCAAAATGGGGAAAAAAAATACATATATTTATCTTAAAGGTCGGTTCCGTCACTGAGTAGTTGCCTAGCAACATTCCCTAGCAACCCCAGTGCAGGAAAGCCACAGCCAGCACTCTCCTACAGTCAATTAGAAATGGTAATTTCCATGGGAAGATCTCACCATCCGTTCCAATTAGAAACAACAATTCTTTCCTTATCAACAACCTTTCCTATTAGAAACTTTGTGCATTTATCCCTCTCTCTGTTTTGCTCTGCCCAGTAACAACACTTTACATCAGCAGCAAGTCAACATTGACAGTATTAAGAGCAACACCTAAAAGTATAATGCAACCCATTCATCTTCATCTCAAATCAATGATGGGTTTCTTCTCTTCCACAAAAGAAGCTCAAGCTCCAGCTGGCCCTTCAGTGCTCTTCAGATGTGGAGATACTTTCAAAGGAAGGGTCCTACAATGAGCTGTAATCTGGCACCAGAAGCTGCATTGTGCTTCCCAGAGTTCACACGGCTGTAGCTGGGTAACTTCTCTTCATGTTCTGAAGCATAATGCCATTAGGGAATGTGGAACTGCACCAGTAAACTACTGCACTTCCCTGTGTCTCAGAGTCTGTAAGCAACAGCAAGGGGTAAGAATGGGTTGTATATAAAAAAGTAATTAAAGTGCTTGGTAATTTCATGTCTTTTAATGCAATGTGCTCTGAAATGAGATTTGAAAACTAAAAAGCCAGGCAAATCCTTGAGATGGGAATGATCACCTATTTAAAGCCTTTCATACTTGGAGCTGTCAATCTCGGCAGTGAAATTAAATGAAGAGAAAGAGGAAAGAAAGCAAGCCTGTGTGGGCTGGTGACTGATCAAGGTTTAAATAGTCTCATTTACTGATCTCTCCAATATACAGTAACGACAAAAAATAGATTTTCTGTTGTCAAATGACCATAATTTTCTAATCATTTACTCTCTCCAGAACCAAAAGCTATCTCCTCCTTAACTGCTTGCAAAAACTGTTATATGCTGTCAGTAGCAGTTTTCCTACTCACTCCCTCCCTCATATAAAGTGCCAGTGACATGCGGGAGATATCTCCCTCAAAGTTTGATGGAGATAAGCTGTAACATAACACTTACAGACCTCACTCAGAACCACATTTCTAATAAGCTGGAAACTCTCAAAACCTTAAAGAAGAATGATCTTACAGCTCTCTACAATACCTGAAAGAAGGGGAGCGAGGTGGCAGTCAGTCTCTTCTCCCAAGTAACAAGTGATAGGACAAGAGGAAATGGCCTCAAGTTGTGCCAGGGGACATTTAGATTTGGTATCAGGAGAAATGCCTTCACCAAAACAAGTCCCTTCAGAGTCTTAGATCCTGAAGCACTGCTCCATAAAAACAAACAGCACTGCTGACCTTCCCATGGCCTAGGATGCCTTCACTGCTGTAGTTCTCATCAGTGCAACCACTACACTGCCAGTCCTCAAAATCCTCTTTGTCAAAGGGAAAAAAGCTGAGGGTCAGAGGCAGTATGCACCATGAGAGGATGCATTAGACCACTGTTACTTTTCAAGGTTGCAGCTCCTGGAACACCAGGCAAGGGGACAGGAAGGGAGTAAGTTTGACTCATCTGTTCCCTGGCCTTGGACAGGGTCAACTGCCTCAGTACCCCATTCCCAAAAGGCATTTTGATGATGAGCTATCAGAGATGAAGACACTACTACCTCAAAAGATGAATCATTTCAGTGCCTCTAACTTGGCCATTAATAGCAAAGCTTTACCATAGTCAGAGTCCTTTGATTTCATCACTCAAGACTCTCCTAAAGAATTCCCATTAGACATCTGCCAAATTTTAGTTTCTATTCACAAGGAAATCTGTTTTTCCCAGTTTCCAAATCCTGCTGCATGCATGCAACCGGGACCTGGTTGGGCTACTGCTCAGTGGCATTTTCTGGCCATCCTCTGACAAAAGACAGCCTCAGTTACCAACACTCCCTCCACCCAGAGATGCTTTGCAGTGGCTGACACAGCTGGAAAGCATGGCAAGCGTTTGTGGCAGCATCTGACTTCAAGTTGAGAAATGACATTACAGCTCCAGCAGCATCAGCTTTATAGACACTATTAAGAGAAAGCTTATTAGTTTGTGAAGCTGATGTGGTGCATCTGGAACCCTACGGCTGACTACTGCTAGCTCCTTATTTCATAAAGCCCACAGCAAAATTAGTCAATAGCAACAGAAGGGGTAAAACCCACAACTGTGTGATTTAATGTATAGCTTGTCAAAGTTATTTGAAAGGTCTATACAGCCCTTAGCAAGGAAAAGGTTCCCCACACTTGCCTGAGAGCAATGTATCTGGTAATAAGGTAGTATAATCAAAAAGCAAACCTTCCTCCATAGCAAACACACTTTGATGCTCTGATTTACGTGACAGTATCCTGCATCAACTAGAGCTGGGAGATGGATCTGCCTACACCTCTCCTTTAAAGTGAGCACAGTAAAAATATCAGAAGAGCACTGAGTCTCCAGAGCTAGCTGCGGAGAGGAAAAATATAACAACAAAGCAGGTTCAGTTCTGCAACAGCAGAAACTTCAACACACCGAGTGTGAAAGATGCAAATAGAAGGGTCAGAAAACAAGTACTGCCATTCCTGGGTGAACATGGGAAGAGGGAAGTAGCGATAAATAAAGGGGGTCCTCTCTCTTTATCACCTTCTCAGCCTCTCCAACAGTCAGTGCTCCCTACTCCAAGGCTGGGCTGCAGGTCTGCTCCCCATTCCTCTTGCTGTCCCCTGGTGCTACTCATGGGGTTCTGCCATGAACCTCAATCTGTCCCAGCTGAGCTTGGTGGCTCTCCATGGAGGAAACAGCCCCCCAGGTACAGGAACAATCCAGGTTGAACAGAGCAGAGGGGTGCCTTGCTTTCTTTCACCTAAGCACAGCTTTTAGAACTAAAGGAAACCATTAAGAGAGAACAAGTAAACCACATCCCCCAGCCAGAACCACCACCACTTCCTCAACAAGCTGTCTGAGGGGAGACAGAGATGAGATCTTAGGCAGAAGTTCTTCCCTGTGAGGGTGCTGAGGCGCTGGCACAGGGTGCCCAGAGAAGCTGTGGCTGCCCCATCCCTGGCAGTGTTCAAGGCCAGGTTGGACACAGGGGCTTGGAGCAAGCTGCTCTAGTGGAAGGTGTCCCTGCCCATGGCTAGGGGGCGGAACTGGATGAGCTTTAATGTCTCTTCCAATCCATACCAGTCTGTGATTCTATGATACAGCTCCACCTTGACAGAAGTTAAGCGTAGTTATGTAGTTACTCTTTCCATGCCACGATTTTGGATTATGTAAATTCTGTAAATTCACAGGGAACAATTTATAGCCTTTTACTGAAACTGTGCTACTGAAACCCTGTTTGCTCATCCCTCAAAAGGCCACAGAAGACTTTCACAAAAGAAATGAAAAGGTAAGATCTGAAAGGCAATTTCAGAATTTAAATGAGAAAGTGGTGATTATGCCTTCAGCCCTTCACAACAGACAGAAGGGCTTTGTTATAAAGTTAGGTTAGAACCAGCCCCATTCACCTATCAGGAAAAAAATGGAAAAGAGGAAAACCAAAACAACTTCTCTGCATGAAAACCACAGTCATGTCAAGAGCGAGGCCACCCTCCTTCACAGGGAGGGCAACTGGAAAGCTCCATTTAATCCTGAGAATTCTCAAAACACCCAGAAAAGATCCTAGCAAGATGTATTGGCCATGTGTGTGCGTCCCAAATTCCTTCATGTTCTTCAGCCATAGTGAGTACCAAGTGCTCCTCTCCTCAGCAGAGTGAGCTGCTCTACAGTGACCCTGCTGCAGTCCAGTTTTATCCACGCTTGTTTGACATGGATGAACTGGAACCAAGAAGACAGGATGGCTGGAGGGAAAACAAGACAGAGTCAGAGGATGGTCCCCAAGAATACAGGCCAAGTGGAGCAGTGAGGTCCCTCCCAGCACCCAGCCTTCAGCCCAACCTGCAGGGTCCAAAAGTCCCCATGGTACAAGCCACCATAACTCCTTGAAGAGAAACAACTCTATTGTGTATTGCTTTTTAGGTCCTAAGCAAGAGGAATCCTCCCTGTGCCCAAAAAGGAAAAAACAAAAGTATAGAATAAAATGCAAGTTCAAAGGCTGCCTTTGTTACAAAGAGAAAAAAAGTGTGTGAAGAATATTGGGGGCAATTATAAAATAAGCTCAGGTCACTGACAGTATTTGACAGCCTCTGGGTAAAATCACAGGCTCTCCCGAGACATCCATCCTGAGCATCACGTCCAGCCCCATTTTAAGTTCTCCTTTTACTGAGAAACCCAAGTGCCTAAATGGTTATTTATGGAATACTAATAGCCACAGTTTGCAATTGAAATGAAGATTCACTGCAGCAGAAACCACGCAGACAACCCATTTTGTAAGTCAGAGGGTAGAGAGAGGAT